GTACTGGAAATGAAAAGTACAATGCCTTCACTTTAACCCTTTGACTGTTTACATCGTATATATACAGTGGTCCCTCAATAATCGTCCGGCTCGATAGTCATCCTTTTCGGAAATCGTCGCGTTATTTCGTCCAAACGTTGGCTCGCAAATGGTCCGTCGACTCGCTAATTGTCTTTCAACCTGGACGCGTACTCACGCTCTGAGCCTCCTTGGCCTCCCTTCCCAGCCAGTGTGCCATTGTTTACCAGTGAGCTATGTTCCCCTCATTTGTTCATATGAAATATTTCATAATATTCCATTCATTTTAGTGCTTGCAAGTGGTAAATAAGCTACCATGGCTCCAAAGAAAGTTCCTAGTGCCAAGCTTTTGGTAAAGGTGAGAAATACGATTGAATTTAAGAAAAACGTTGAACAATATGAAAGTGGCGTACGTGTGGGTTAACTTGCCAGGATTTATAACAAATCCCGTACAAACATATCTTCCATCGTGGCCAAGAAAAAAGAAATCAAGGAAGCTGTTGTTGCAAAGGGGTTAAATATGCTGACAAAAATGAGATCACCAGTACTCGAAGATGTTGAGAAGTTATTATTGGTGTGGATAAACGAGAAACAATTAGCAGGAGATAGTCTTATGACGTCGATTATTTGTGAAAAGGCTAGGCAGTTGCATGACGATTTGGTAAAGAAATTGCCTGCAACTAGTGATGAGTGAATTTAAGGCCAGCAAAGGCTGGTTTGAGAGATTTAAGAAGCGTATTGGCATACACAGTGTGATAAGGCATTGTGAGGCTGCCAGTTCGGACCAAAAAGCGGCTGAAAAATATGTGCATGAATTCAAGGAGTACATAGAGGCTGAAGGACTGAAACCTGAACAAGTGTTCAGTTGTGACGAAACAGGCCTCTTTTGGAAGAAAATGCCAAAGAGGACCTACATTACTCAGGAGGAAAAGGCACTGCCAGGACACAAGCCTATGAAATACAGGCTGATGCTCATGTTCTGTGCTAATGCTAGTGGCGATTTCAAAGTGAAGTTGTTACTAGTGTACCATTCTGAAAATCCCATAGCATTCAAGAAAAACAATGTTATGAAGAGTAAATTGTGTGTGTTTTGGAGATCTAATAATTAGGCATGGGTCACGAGGGAAATTTTCGTCGAGTGGTTCAGTGAAGTGTTTGGCCCTAGTGTGAAGAATCACCTCCTGGGAAAGAAATTGGATCTCAAGTGCCTGCTAGTAATGGAGAATGCACCTGCTCATCCTCCAAACTTGGATGACCTAATTCTGCAGGAGTTTGGGTTCATCACAGTAAAGTTCTTGCCCCCGAATACCAGTCCTCTCCTCCAGCCCATGGACCAGCAGGTCATTTCAAACTTTAAAAAACTCAATACCAAAGCAATGTTTGAAAGGTGCTTTAATGTGACCTCAAACACTCGCTTGACCCTAAGAGATTTTTGGAAAGAACACTTCAGTATTCTCCATTGCATAAGCCTTATAGGTAAGGCTTGGGAGGGAGTGACTACCAAGACTTTGAACTCTGCTTGGAGAAACTTGTGGCCAGATTGTGTCCACGAGGGATTTTGAAGGGGTTGAGGCGGCCCCTGATTAGCTTACGTCACTTGTGAACTCGATTGTGGCATTGGGGAGTTCCATGGGGTTGGATTTGAGTTTGGAGGATGTGGAAGAGTTGGTGGAGGACCACAACGAAGAGCTAACCACTGAGGAGCTGCAAGAGCTTCAGCAGGAACAGCAACAGATCGCAGCTCAGAATCTTGCTGCAGAAAAAGAGGAAGAGAGATGGAAGAAGGTGCCTTCTTCAGAAATTAAGGAGATTTTTTAAATGTGGGTAGGATGGAAAGATTTATGGAGAAACATCACCCAGAGAAGGATGTTGCAAGCCATATTGGCAACTTGTACAGTGACAGAGTCTTGGCCCATTTTAGGGAAGTTTTAAAGAGACACCAGAAACAGCTCTCTGGACAGTTTTTTTGCGAGACAGGACTCCAGTGACTCTTAAGCTGGTCCTAGTGGCAATAAGAAACAGAGAAGTAACCCCAGAAAAGCCCTTGGTTCCTGAGGTGTTGATGGAAAGGGGATTCCCCTTCCAAACAGTAATTCAATCTCTCTCCTCCAGTCTTCCATACACTAAGAGGAATCGCCAATAAAGGTAAGTGTTATGCTGTTAATGTTTCATTCATCATGTCCCATTGTATTGTTTATGTACTACATCTCTATTTCATGTAAAAAAAAAAAAATTTAACCCTTTGACTGTCGCAACCCCCAATCCTGAGGTGTCTCCTGGTGTCGCAAAATTTAAAAAAAAAAAAATTATTTTATGAAATGATAGAGAATCTTTTCCCGATTGTAAAGACACCAAAAAACAAAATTTGATGGAAAACTGAGGGAATTACGCTCGCGCGAAGTTAGCGGCATTGGCGATATTTACAAATCGGCGATTTCGCCCACTTTGAGCCCTATTTTCGGTTTATTCCATTATTCCAGTCAACCAAACTCATAGCTATTTCTTCAGAACTCCATTTTTTCCATCGATTGAGTACAAGAAACTGCCCATTTACCGATTTCAACTACCCAATAACATGGTCACAAATTTGCAATTTGGCCAATTTTACGAAAATTAAAAAATATGACAATTTCAAAATAAGGACCAGAATGAACAATGTAGACATTCCTGGCTCTAAAATAACATTTTCTTTGTTCATCAGTCATGTCTCCAAGCCTCTCTGATATTACTCTTGCTTTTTATTTTGAAATTTTATTCAAACAAAAAATAGAAGATTTACTGTTATGCAGACTACTGCAATACTGTAATAATTGTATAAATTACATCAACCCATTCATGACTGCATATTAGAATGGCTAGTTGGACATTTATTGGACAATGACATCATTTGTTTACTTTTGAACATCGGCAAACATTTCCCGTAATTTGTGCTCCATTTCCAGGTTCTTTTTATAGTAAAATTAATCAAAATCTCCTCTATTTCTATAATATAGTTTCCATTCTATCAAATGAGACCAAGAAAACGAGAATACAACCACAAAAACTATACGAAAATAAACCACAAATTCGGCATTTTAATTAAAAAAAACGGTCTGAGTTTTTTTTTTTTTTTCACATTATGCACTGCGTGCTCCAGGATTTTTTTTATATGGTGCACACTGACCACACAGACCCATTCTCTCACATGTGGGCCTACCAGCTTTCTCCTGCTTGATTTGAAGCCGCTAGAATTTGAGTATACATGTATATACATCAAACACGGTACCTCGCAAACGTATATATACGGCCGCGACAGTCAAAGGGTTAATACTTCTGGGTGTCATGAACGGATTAATTGTATTTACATTATTTCTTATTGGGAAAATTGATTTGAAAATCGTCTGTTTCGATAATAGTCCCACTTCCAGGAACTGATTAAGGACGATAAACAAGAGACCACTGTACGTCTTGTGCGCCACTGTTTCTGGCGTATTTAAACGCGTAAATTCTATTGGATTCAAATGGAGCAGGAGAAAGCTGTTAGGACCACATGTGAGAGAATGGGTATGTGTGGTCAGTGTGCACCACATAAAATCCTGCAGCATGCAGTGCATAATGAGAAAAAAACTGACCATTTTTTTGGATAAAAACACCGACTTTGAGGTGTATTTTCGTATAGTATTTATCGTTGTATGTATTCTCGTTTTCGTGGTCTCTGGTGATAAAATGGAAAACATGTTACAGAAATAGAGATGATTTTCATTACTTTCACGATGAAATAACCTTGAAATTGAGCTCAAAGTATCGGAAATGTTCGATTTTTACCCATGTTCAGGAGTAAGCAAATCACACCACACGTCCAATACATGTCAACTGGGGAGTCTAATATTTTTTAGCTAGTGCACTGATATTATTTATACCATTTTTACAATAATGCAGTAGTCTGCATAACAGTAAATTTTGTATTTTTTTGTATGAATAAAAAATCTAAATAGAAAGCAATAGTAATATAAGAGGGGCCTAGAGACATGACTAATGAACAGAGGATATGTTATTTTAGTGCCAAGAATGTCTACATTGTTTATTCTGGACCCTGTTTTGAAATTGGCATCTTTAATTTGTGTGAAATTGAATAAATTTCCAATTTCTGACCACTTTATTGGGTAGTTCAATTCAGTAAATGGGCGGTTTCCTTTATAGCTATGAGTTTGGTCATCTGGAACAACGGAATTGGCCAAAAACAGGGCTCGAAGTCGGCGTAATTCCGTGAGTTTTCGACCAAATTTCGTACTTTTGGTGTCATTACCATCAGGAAAAGATTCTCTATCATTTCATACGAAGAAATTTTTTTTTTTTCCCAAAACTTTTGCGACAAAGAATGACAGTTTCAGAAAGGGGCTTGCGACAGTCAAAGGGTTAAAGGAGGGGTTTGGGATACTGGCAGTTTGGAGGGATATGTTATGTATCTGTATACCTGTATGCTTCTAAACTGTTGTATTCTGAGCACCTCTGCAAAAACAGTGATTATGTATGAGTTAGGTGAAAGTGTTGAATGATTATGAAAGTATTTTCTTTTTGGGTCACCCTGCCTCGGTGGGAGACGGCGAACTTATTAAAAAAAAAAAAAAGTATTCATGTATTTTCCATGGGGAAGTGGAATAGAAGTCTTGCTTTGTAAGACATGCGTGTTATAAGAGGAGATTAAAATGCCAGGAGCAAGCGGCTAGTTATCCCTTCTCCTGTTTATATTACTAAATTTAAAAGGAGAAGCTCTCATTTTTCCTTTTGGGGCCACCCTGCCTCGGTTTGTTTAAAGACAATATTCATGTATGCATTGTGCTAAATCCATAAGGGCTATTCAGACATAATGGGGTTCACTTGTATACAAAGATGACAAAATGTTAGGGAAGGGTGGGGAGGTTGACTGAGGTTCTATTCTATACTGTACAGTGCTTAAAATTATTTTTTTAAACAAATTTAATTGTTCTCTTCATTGTCAACAGGGTGGAAATTACACGAGTTGTAAGGTCAAGACGCAACAAAGTGAAAGAAGATTCTCCTAAAGTGTAAGTAGCAGATTTTCTTTAAATAACATTGCTAAAAAACTAATGTTAATAAAAACTGATAACCCAGGCCAAAAGAGGTTTCAGTTCATGATTAAAAATGTGAATTTAATTATTTTTTTTATCAAAACATAGCCATCACAGAAAGGTATCTGGGTAAACCAGGTATCTTTCTACTGTGAGATGGCCAACTAATGCTGGACACTGGTGCAGGAGAGCAATAATGAACACAAGTGAAAAGACCTCAAAACTAATGTTAATGTTAGAATGACTAGAAATTTATTTTTTATGTATATATATTGTTAAAGGTAGTAGGTTGGTAGACAGCATCCGCCCAGGGAGGTACTACCGTCCTGCCAAGTGAGTGTAAAGTGAAAGCCTGTAATTGTTTTACATGATGGTAGGATTGTTGGTGTCTTTTGTCTGTCTCATAAACATGCAAGGTTTCAGGTACATCTTGTTACTTCTACTTACACTTAGGTCACACTACACATACATGTACAAGCATATATATACACACCCCTCTGGGTTTTCTTCTATTTTCTTTCTAGTTCTTGTTCTTTTTTATTTCCTCTTATCTCCAGGGGGAAGTGGAACAGAATTCTTCCTCCGTAAGCCATGCGTGTTGTAAGAGGCGGCTAAAATACTGAGAGCAAGGGGCTAGTAACCCCTTCTCCTGTATAAATTACTAAATTTAAAAAGAGAAACTTTCGTTTTTCTTTTTGGGCCACCCCGCCTCGGTGGGATACGGCCGATGTGTTGAAAGAAAGATATATATTGTAGGTAGGTTGATAGACAGCAACCGCCCAGGGAGGTACTGCCAAGCAACTGTAAAATGGAAGTCTGTATTTGTTTTACATGATGGTAGAATTGCTGGTATCTTTTTTCTGACTCAAATATGCAAGATTTCAGGTGCGTCTTGCTACTTATTCAGGTCACACTACACATGCTTGTACACATTTTTGTATACACACTCATCAGAGTTTTCTTTGATTTTATCTTAATAGTTCTTCTTCTTATTACTTTTCCTTTCACACCCATGGAGAAGTGGAATAAGAATCTTTCCTCTGTAAGCCATGCGTGTTGTAAAAATCAACTAAAATGCCAGGAGCAAGGGGCAAGTAACCATTTCTCCTGTATATATTACTAAATGTAAAAGGAGAAACTCCTTTTTTCTTTTGGACCACCCAGCCTCAGTGGGATACGGCCGGTGCGTTGAGTCCTGGAAATGGGAAGTACAATGCCTGCACTTTAAAGGAGAGGTTTGGGATATTGGCAGTTTGGAGGTTGACTTTTAAACTATCGTATCTGAGGGCCTCTGCAAAGACAGTTATTATGTACAAGTGAAGTGAAAGTGTTGAATAATGACGAAAGTATTTTCTTTTTGGGGAATTTTTCTTTTTTGCATCACCCTGCCTCGGTGGGAGACGACTGATGTGTTGAAAAAAATAAATGTATATACTATAAAGTTTAAATTAATCTACAATGCCAACAGGGTAGAAACTACACCAGTCTTGCGGTCAAGGCGCAACAATGCAAAAGAGGATTCTCCGAAAGTGTAAGTGGCAATCCTTCTTTCACCAATGGTACCACAAAAACGGTATTGTATTTTGAACGTTTAGACTATAGCGTGGATTATTTATGTACTGATGGATAGGTAGTCTTACCGAGCCCAGTGTTTTGTTAAATTTGTTAGTACTAGATTAATTTTGGCAAAAGCAGTTCGCTTTATTTTAGTGTATTCTAAACTTTGATCTAATCAGACTAGGAACCACAATTTGTCAGTTGCCCTCCCAATACATTTTGACTCTTGCTTTTTTCCAACTCTATCTTAGCAGTTGTGTAACTATGGAAATTTTATTAGATTTTGCATAGGGTGTTGCATCGTGCTAATCATTGCTATTTTAAACTTTTTTCAGGGTCACAAGACGAAAACGAGCTCGCAAGTAAGCTCTCCACATGAGAGTACAGTGCTTGCTTGAAGTACCTGCAATTTGTCTTATTTGTAATCTTTTATAAAACTATATATATATATAAATTTTTAAGTGTGAATCTACTAATTTTACTGAAAGCAAGCTTTGAATGGGAAAGTTTATTTTTTAGTTTACAAGAATACCATTTTGTACAAGATAATTTTTTGATTGCCATGCAAGATCACCTGGTTTAGTTTATCTTAAGATTAAAATGTTAAAATAATACTAGAATGCATGTAGACATATATCAAACATTAAAAATGTTGTTTTAGAAAGTGTTTCATTATCATGAAAAAGTAAGTTGAAGGTTCTTGTAGTATTTGAAGAATAATCACTCTTGAAAGCCCTTAGTTGGTGTGCATTTTGCATACTAATTGCTACTGTTTAGTGAGCTGCAAGTTTTAAATTATGCTGCACTTTCATTTCTAAGTACCCCATGGTAAAGTAAAAATTCGTGATCAGACAAGCATCAAGGAAGAGTGTTGTCGACGACTTTGGTGTAAGCTGGATTGAGGGCTCTCCAACACGAGCTCAACCAGGATGAACCCTCAATCTAGTTTACACTAGAAGTTTACAACACACTTCCTTTCCTTGATATTCTCTGCAAAGCTGACCACGAACTTCGTTTTAAAGTCTATCAAAAACTTGCTAACACTATCATTTCCATTTCTACTCTCATCACGACACTAAAATTAAATGTGGTGTAATCAGTGTCTTTTCTTTCATGCCCTCTGAATATGTAACTTAGAGTTCCTTGAGGAACAGTGCTCTCATCAAACAAGTATTTTCTAAATTTCACTCTCATCACTTCATTAGAGACTACAGATGCTGGACATATAATATCAACTCACACAGACAAGATACTGCCAAGAGGAGATGCATAGTCCTCCCCACCAACTCTGTTGCCAAACACATCACCAATAACTCCAAGGCTGAGGGACTGATTACCTCATCTTTTGTATATAGTTCTACTGTCTTCTAATTATGTCCTAGAATCTGTATTGATTAAGCCACTGGATGGCGAAACATCGACAATAAGGATATCCAGATGTTGCACATGTGTCTTAACTTTCAAGTTGTATTTTACTCCCTTATCCTTAATTAAGTGTATATGAAGTTTGTTTTATGATATGAATGGCATCACATGGTGTTACCTATTGCAGATGTCAACATTATGGTAGTGAAGAAAGAATTAGAAGAAGGGGCAGTGGTGGCTGCCTTCCACCACTTGTCTGTCTCATTCAACGCTCCTTCATCACCACATGGCTATGCGGCTCCATAAGCCTAAGTTAATGCCTTTTTTTGCTGTCTTAAATTTTCAGCATCACACCAAATAAAAGCAGATAATGAGCAGGCTTAGTTAATCAGGAATGAATTTCCATAGGACATATATGGTGCTGTAATACCAAGAGAGAGAGAGAGAATACCTCTTCAGATGTTTTCTTTAAAATGTTATAAATTTTAATTGTAACCTGAAATACGTTAAGATTTATTTTATATGTGTATTTAGATTTCACCCTTTTGAGAAAACAAGTTTTCCAAGATAAAACGTCATTACAGAGTGCACACAGATTGGTCCGTTTTTCTTCTTGTAGTGACCTATATCTTCCATTGTTGTTTGTCCTCTTGTGGGTTTATTGAGTTAGTAATTGTTTTATTTGTACGCCAGATGCACATTTTAAATTTTGTTGAACAATGTAGTATATCATTTTCAATCTGACTGAATTGACGCCCTAAGTGAACAACGTAATAATTGATGCCCTAAGTGAACAACGTAATAATTGATGCCCTAAGTGAACAACGTAATAATTGATGCCCTAAGTGAACAACGTAATAATTGATGCCCTAAGTGAACAACGTAATTGATGCCCTGAGTGAACAACGTAATAATTGATGCCCTAAGTGAACAACGTAATAATTGATGCCCTAGGTGAACAATGTAATTGATGCCCTAGGTGAACAACGTAATAATTGATGCCCTAAGACCTAAGTGAACAACGTAATAATTGATGCCCTAAGACCTAAGTGAACAACGTAATAATTGATGCCCTAAGTGAACAACGTAATTGATGCCCTAAGTGAACAACGTAATAATTGATGCCCTAGGTGAACAACGTAATAATTGATGCCCTAGGTGAACAATGTAATAATTGATGCCCTAAGTGAACAACGTAATAATTGATGCCCTAAGTGAACAACGTAATAATTGATGCCCTAAGTGAACAATGTAATAATTGATGCCCTAAGTGAACAACGTAATAATTGATGCCCTAGGTGAACAATGTAATAATTGATGCCCTAAGTGAACAACGTAATAATTGATGCCCTAGGTGAACAATGTAATAATTGATGCCCTAAGCGAACAACGTAATAATTGATGCCCTAGGGTGAACAATGTAATAATTGATGCCCTAAGTGAACAACGTAATAATTGATGCCCTAGGTGAACAATGTAATAATTGATGCCCTAAGTGAACAACGTAATAATTGATGCCCTAGGTGAACAATGTAATAATTGATGCCCTAAGTGAACAACGTAATAATTGATGCCCTAAGTGAACAACGTAATAATTGATGCCCTAAGTGAACAACGTAATAATTGATGCCCTAAGTGAACAATGTAATAATTGATGCCCTAAGTGAACAACGTAATAATTGATGCCCTAAGTGAACAATGTAATAATTGATGCCCTAAGTGAACAACGTAATAATTGATGCCCTAAGTGAACAACGTAATTGATGCCCTAAGTGAACAATGTAATAATTGATGCCCTAAGTGAACAACGTAATAATTGATGCCCTAAGTGAACAATGTAATAATTGATGCCCTAGGTGAACAACGTAATAAGATAAAAAGTTTATACCACAACATTTGACTTAGTCACAATAATAAAGGAGATGAGTATTGTGGTGAGGTTATGTCTCCCGACTCCCTAACAGATGAGAAAGTTACACTTGCTGCCAATAACATGGATGAAACCATGAGTCTTCTGCAAAAACTTCATTCAGATCAGTCTTATAACTTGAATGCATTAATTAAAGCTCTAACAAATTTTTAGGAGTAGATGGAAAGATTGAGCTCTGTACTTATCGAACCTTTTAAATGTGTCAAATGGAGTAGCACTCAGATGATGACTGTGTTCAAAATACTAGTACGTACATGTAAATATTATGCAGAAAATTCGGAGTGTGGAAATTAGGAAAAGGTGTGGAGTTAATAAAAGTATTAGTCAGAGGGCAGAAGAGGGGTTGTTGAGGTGGTTTGGTCATTTAGAGAGAATGGATCAAAGTAGAATGACATGGAAAGCATATAAATCTATAGGGGAAGGAAGGCGAGGTAGGGGTCGTCCTCGAAAGGGTTGGAGAGAGGGGGTAAAGGAGGTTTTGTGGGCAAGGGGCTTGGACTTCCAGCAAGCGTGTTAGATAGGAGTGAATGGAGACGAATGGTACTTGGGACCTGACGATCTGTTGGAGTGTGAACAGGGTAATATTTAGTGAAGGGATTCAGGGACAGTTTTGGTCACCGTATTACAGAATGGATATAAATTCTCTGGAAAATGTACAAAGGAGGATGACAAAGTTGATTCCATGTATCAGAAACCTTCCCTATGAGGATAGACTAAGGGCCCTGAATCTGCACTCTCTAGAAAGACGTAGAATTAGGGGGGATATGATTGAGGTGTATAAATGGAAGACAGGAATAAATAAAGGGGATGTAAATAGTGCTGAAAATATCTAGCCTAGACAGGACTTGCAGCAATGGTTTTAATTAAGTTGGAAAAATTCAGATTCAGGAAGGATATAGGAAAGTACTGGTTTGGTAATAGAGTTGTGGATGAGTGGAACAAACTCCCGAGTACAGTTATAGAGGCCAGAACGTTGTGTAGCTTTAAAAATAGGTTGGATAAATACATGAGTGGATGTGGGTGGGTGTGAGTTGGACCTGATAGCTTGTGCTACCAGGTCGGTTGCCGTGTTCCTCCCTTAAGTCAATGTGACCTGACCTGACTAGGTTGGGTGCATTGGCTTAAGCCGGTAGGAGACTTGGACCTGCCTCGCATGGGCCAGTAGGCCTTCTGCAGTGTTCCTTCGTTCTTATGTTCTTATATAGTCGGACTTGAGTCCTGGAAATGGGAAGTACAATGCCTGCACTTTAAAGGAGGGGTTTGAGATATTGGCAGTTTGGAGGGATATGTTGTGTATCTTTATACGTATATGGTTCTAAACTGTTGTATTCTGAGCACCTCTGAAAAAACAGTGATTATGTGTGAGTGTGGTGAAAGTGTTGAATGATGAAAGCATTTTCTTTTTGGGGATTTTCTTTCTTTTTTGGGTCACCCTGCCTCGGTGGGAGATGGCCAACTTGCTGGAAAAAAACAAAAAAAACATGTATGCACAATTTTTTGCGCCTTCAGATACTCCATCTACCAATATTTTTGACCTCAGCTTAACCGAGTTCAAGAATGTTGCTTTTGAAAAATTTTGATACCAGATGAGTTCATGCAGTGCATCAGGGGGTAACTCTGCTTAACTAGCATAAATAAACATTGAAACCAGGAGCTAGTTTTCCACCACCAGTTTCCCTACCAGCAAACAGGGTGTGGAAATGCCAGAACATTGCCTTATTCTTTCTAAATTTAATAAAATTTCATGATACTAGCAGTAGAATTCAGCTTTGTGTATGTGTTAGTGTGTGTGCATGTGTATTCACATACACATTCACTGTTTATGCAATATTTATTATACTATAGTTAATCACTTCTTTCTTTGAAATAAGTTAAATAATGGAACTGTATGCTACTTCTCATAAATTTCATTACAGAGTGGATGGTTTACCTTGAGATAGTTCCGGGGATCAACGCCCCCGCGGCCCAGTCTGCGACCAGGCCGCCTGGTGGATCAGAGCCTGATCAACCAGGCTGTTACTGCTGGCTGCACGCAATCCAACATGCGAGCCACAGCACGGCTGGTCAGGTACCGACTTTAGGTGCTTGTCCAGTGCCTGCTTGAAGACGGCCAGGGGTCTATTAGTAATCCCCCTTATATAAATAACAAAAAAAGGCACAATACCGTGACTGGAACGATACACAAATAACCCGCACATAAAAAGAGAAGCTTACGACGACGTTTCTGTCCGACTTGGACCATTTACAAAGTGTCACTAACCAGAAGTGGAGCAGGATGGCTATATATAGGCAGGAAGAGGTGGTGGTAGTAGTAGTAGTAGTACAAGAATGGTATATAATACCGGCAAGATGAAATTAAGACACATGCG